AGACAACTCATGTAGATGTCGGAGATCATTGTCCTTGACAGCAACCATGTCAGTCGGATGAGGAGTTGAATATGTTGGCGACTCGATTTGCTCCCACTCGCTGAACCCTTCTGCTGCCTCGGCTCCATCCATGATACCTCTCCGGACCCTGTTTAAAATATCCGCTCTAAGGAGATAGGCGAGGACTCTGGGGTAAGAACACCGAAATATCCTGAAGGAAGGGGGGCTTGAAAACGTAGGAATTGATTGGATTGTAGCATTCTCCATCTCGAGTCCACCTCAATCCGTGTACAAAAGGGAGCTTCGTTTTGGGTCATTCGTTGCTCAGGCTTGGAGGATATTGTGGGCCAATTGCTCCTATGTCCAGCCATCACCATCTACCTCACCTCCTGTTGAATTTGTTTGGTTGCAATGTGGGCAATGGTACAATTTTATTCCTTGGCTCATTTTCATCGGCATTAACGTGCCATAAATGGCATTTAAGGTGCCTTATCAATCTACCAAATTTTGCACAATGCTACTCTAAATGCTAAATATAAAGGGTACAATTCCCATTGCTCGTGTCAAAAAAATACTTCAATTGTACTTTTTAAAACAATCTCCAAAGTATTTTTTTATGTAAAAAGTATTTTAAGTATCGAATGATTAGAAATATCAATTTATAATTTTTTAATTATAAAATTATGTTTTTAATTATTTAAATATTTTGAAATTAAAATAAAATTTGATAAAAATATTTAGAAAAATGAAATTTTTTTGTGTATATTTATACAATTAAATCTTAAAATAATTTATTGTGGACACATCTTAACATTTATTACTTACAAAGACAATAAAATAATTTGTTGAAAAAATTTAATAAAAAAAATAGAAATCGAAAATCAATCAAAATCTTTATAAAAAATCTTTTCTTAAAAAAACCCTTTAAAAATATAGTTTTTGTGCAAGAATAAGACTTGTACCTTGTGAGCTAACCAATTTTGTAGTTAAGCTGATTTATTAACTATATAAGTGTTTAAATGCTTAAAATAGACAGCAATAAGCAATTGAGCAAACTTCATTTACGTTATTATGTTATATTAATATGTTACAGTATAATCAATTATTATATGTTAATATATTATTTAATCATCTTGTAACATGTGAACATATTACATGGTATAAAATAACAAGTATCATTTTGATTAATTCAACCATTAATTATATAAATTTATTTGGATCAAAATAAAATAATAAAAAATTATTTAATTTAAAATAAAATACAAAAATTTGATTAAATATAATTAAAAAATTAATTTATTTAATTTTTTATTTTTTAAATATTATATAAAAAAATATATAATATGTATAAGATCAATCGATAGCACAAAAAACATAAAAAATGAATTGGAAACCAGAAAGAGTCTTTCTCAAAACAAACAATTATTTCTCCTATCAAACACATACTTGAAAAAGAAGAATGAGTTTATAGATAAGTTGACACAATAATTATGGTTATTATTATTTTAATTTAAGCATTTAAATCTGGGGGAAGAATCAAATTTGGGATCTTGCAAAGCTCTCGGCGGGTAGGTTGACTGGTAGCTGCTGCAACCCTTACCTTCTTACCGTTGACTTCAACTATACAGCAACCCTTATTTATTTATTTATTTATTTCAAAATCAATAAAAAAGAGAAAAAAACAGAAAAGAAAAGAAAAACTGCTACTAACAGGGAAATGGAGCAGTTGCTTAATTTAGTCCAAGCGAGAGGAAATAGAAGGGCATTTTTGGTAATTAAAGACGGAACAAGCCACTGCAACAAGCAAGCTCCCCTCTTCCCCTCCATTAGCTGCAGTACGATTTGCTTTAAAATCTCTCTCCAAACAGTCCAAACAGTACCAAAGAAAAAAAAAGTTCGATAAATCTCTCCATTTTTTTTTGTTTATTTGATTGGTTTTGCTTTTCCCGTAGTCATTGTTGCTGAGTTTGAACATTTTTGAAATTTGATTGTCTTCTTAGCTTTAGCTGCTGCGACAGTCAAGTGAGCAATAGTGAAGGTAGCGTACACTGTTCTTCTTCTTTTTTGATTCGATTGTTTGTGATTTGTAGAAGTTGAGTTTAAGAATTGCTCCATTTTCTAATTTTTGTTTAACGCATGTGTTTCGTCGCGTTTGGTTTGCTTGTTTCTTGCTGTTTCATGGTGCTTTGATTGTTTGTTTCTGGATGAAGATATTGATTGGCTGCATTTTTATTGGAAGAAGTAGATCCAGGAGCGAGAAATGAAGTGTAGAAAATTAGGCATCGCTGTCTGATAATTGTGTAAACGAGTATTGTTTGACAAGGAAATTATTAATTAGCTTTTGGACTCAAGATTTATGAGATATTTTGGATAATAAAGCGGTGTTGATACTTCAATTGACAATATGATATTATCCTTAGTTAAAAACATAGTGTGCTATTATTTTGTAAGCATTAAAATCGCTTCCGAGCTATTGAAATGCTGTATCCTTCTTCCTTTTCTAGGGTTTCTGCATGGACTCAGTGAAATCTTGCAATGGCTTATCATTTTAGCTTATGGAGAACAGCTTGTTGTGAAACTTGCTTTTTTCTTATTGAAATGTTTTATTCCATTAACTAAAAGTAATTTCCTTGTGCTTGGTGCAGTTATCGATTTATAAGCCATCTCTTTGAAGGGTTTGATATTGCTTTGAAGAAATGCTTGTGTCTGCTTTACTCACATCTGTGGGAATAAATTCCGGCCTCTGCGTATTGTTCTTCATATTGTATTCGATATTGAGGAAACAGCCAAGTAATTATGAAGTTTATATACCACGCTTGCTTGCTGACGGGAATTCTAAGCGGAGAACTGGTTTCAACCTAGAAAGACTAATACCATCTCCTGGTTGGGTGAAAAGGGCATGGAAGCTTTCTGAAGACGACCTCTTGTCAACATCTGGCTTAGATGCTCTCGTCTTTATGCGTGTTATAACCTTTAGGTGAGTGGTTTCTTCCATAAGGAAGTTTTTGTTGGTGTCAAGAAGAAAATCTAATGAGTTAGCTAAGTCGATGGATGGATTTTTGGTTATACATTTGGTTGTATCTATTTTTTTGATTGTGTCCTTGATTTTATTTATTTGTGCCTGGCTGTTAGAGAAACACAGAGAGAGAGAGAGAGAGAGAGAGAGAGAGAGAGAGAGATTGAAGAATATATAGGAAGAAAAGATTGCCTGAATCACAGAAAATATACAGCATGATACTTTTTCTTACATTTTAATGATTAAAAAAATGCCAATAGGATGAATTGTATAGAGAGGGAGCTCGTCAAAATAATAGATGTGATCTTAATTTACTTTAGTAATGTCAGGAATGTTAACTTTTTCATTGGACATAGTGTGTGAATAGATAGTTTCAAATCAAATGGAAGGCTTTGAACAAGAGGATAGTGAAGCGAAGGACAAAGGCATCCTGTCCATGCTCCTGCTTCTTCATGTATTTAATAAATTCTTAGTTTTTGTAATTCCTAAGAGAAGTCTCATCAACCATTATATATTAGTTTGACTAGTCTTAAGGAGAGACTTTCTCTAACCAGTGCTACCATACATGATTCCCTTGGCCTGAGTATTGTCCAGTTGCCTATTTTGGTGCATAGGCATCTAGACAACTGCTATGAGAATATATAGTTAATGTTTGACTAAAATATGCCATTGGTTAGCTGAGGATAATAACTTCCTGCAGCATTACCTTTCTGAAAAAAATGCTTTTTTTAGTTGTTGACAAAAAATGTGATTATATGCATACGTGGAAGCCTGAACTGGTAGAAATCCTTTTTTTTTTTCATTTTGGAAGTTAAACTTCCAAACTTCAGTCTTCTTATAGTTATTTTCTTTTCCACTGTATGCATGCATTACTTGATCTTATCTTTAGTTTTTCTTGATACATGATATTGAAGATTTTATTTAGGCTTTATCAAGTGCTTTTCTGACTCAATCCTGTGTTTGTTATTTTCTCTTAATACTGCAGTTTAAGAGTATTTTTGTTCGCTGGGGTTATTGGGATATTTGTTCTTCTCCCAGTTAATTGCACAGGAGATCAGCTAAACAATATTGATTTTGCTGATTTGACAAATAATTCTTTGGATTTGTTTACCATTTCCAATCTAGAAAGTGGCTCAAAAAGGTAAGTTATAGTTTAAAAATAATTTTCACATAAGTTGAACTTTGATTCTACATATCTACTTGACTTGGCGAAATGGATGGATGCCTTCAAAAATTAACATTTTACCTTCCTCAAGAAATATTCTTTTATTACATCATAACAAAGATCATGTGTTTATGACTTCTTGATTCTTAAAGAAATGGTAATTGTCTCTCAGAACCTGAAAGTTTTTAGTTTTATCATATGCTTAGGCCTAGGCAAGTGCAAAGCAAAACTTACTAGTTTTGGCTTCTTGGGCAGGTTATGGGCTCACTTTTCTGCTGTGTATCTTGTCACTGCATTTGTTTGCTATCTACTCTATTATGTAAGTCAACTTCTTCACCAAAGAAAATCAGTTAACAGAATTCAACTGTCTTGAAGCCCTTTGTCTATTTTCTAAAATTTCGAGTCTTATGTTAAGGTCGATGTATTATCTGTCCTTAATGTCACACGGATGCTAATTTCTAGAACTAATTTTGGTATTACTGATCATGATTGTCCTCTATGTATAAAGGATGTTGGAGCTATTTAAGCAATTTTATTGGACCGGGTACTGAGTGGTGAATTTTCTGCAGGAATATAAATATATAACTGCTAAAAGGATTGCTTATTTTCACTCAACCAAACCTCAGCCTCATCAATTCACCATCTTAGTACGCAGTATACCTGTTTCTGCTGGGAGCAGTGTTAGTGAGAGTGTTGAAAGATTTTTTTTGGAGTATCATCCTTTCACATACCTGTCACATATGGTTGTTCATCGAACAAGTAAACTTCAAAGTCTCATTGTAAGTGATTTTTTTATGTTTTTCATTTCCTTAAGCCTCTACTTCTATTTCCTCTTTAATAGTTCTTAGGATTTTTTCTTCTTTGAGATAAATGAACATAATTGAGAAATATTTTCATCTTAAGCCTGTGGTTCTGTTGCCTGTGTATGGTTAAATAATATGCTAGTTGTGCTGGATGCATCCTGTCTTCTTCTTTTTTGATTGAGTCTGGTTTCACATCCTCCATGTTTCTAACAATTATTTCATTACTTTTTTTTAATCCCCTTTCAGAAAGATGCAAAAAAATTGTATAAAAGGCTTACCCACTTACAATCAGATCCAAATCAGCAGAAGTATAGGCATATTGGGTTGTTTGGACACAAGGTTGATCTGGTGGATCATTATGGAAAGAAATTAGAAGACATAGAGGAGAATCTGAGATTAGAGCGATCTGAAGTTTCATTGGCAGCAGAAGTATGTGCATGTGCCTGCTCTCTTACTTTCTTTTGGCATTGGTTTTTGCTATATTTTTCCACCTTTTGTCAGGATATCGTTTAACCATCTGAATTATGCTTCACAAAGGTCTTAATATCTGTATATTTGTGTAGGCCTCACATATATCTGGGTTTGTGAATTATTAATCATGATTTCTTATTGAAATAAAAAGAACAGGTAATGCAAACAATTTAATGGACTCCTATAAAAAACTGTTATGCATTATAAAAGGCACCGTAGTTGGTTTTTTAATTTCTGGTTCTAGTAGCAACAATTGGCTTTCTGCATAAGAAATTATGAAAAGAAAATTGTGAATCTAAACATTGTATAAGATGCGACTGAGGTGATACTAGTTAAGGGACCCTTTGGTAATTGTAGAAGCCAAAGAGAGGAAATACAGAAAATTGGTGGAAGTTAGATCACTGAGTCATCACCAAGAATTCTTCAAGAGGATTTTCTTCACAGAAGTGAGATTTTCTTTTATTATTTGTCCCAATAAATTATGACAAAACTGGAAAAGAAAAAGGATGTTCCTATGATGGTTTTATTGTTCCTGATATCATTCTCACTAAATGGATTTATTAATGCACATATTATTGGGAAATCAATCAAAAATGGTTTCATAATGCACAAAGAAAAGTGATAAAAGAGAAAAAAAGCAAGGGGGACCGGGGATGGGGGGGAGCAGAAAACATGGCAGTGGGTTTTAAACTTGAAGTTCCTTACGATCTGAAGTCTTAAATTTCTAAAGGTTTTTTATAAGCAGTGCTGATGATAGCAAATCTGACAAGAGATATGACTCCTAACTGCTAGAATTCTTGTTATTCAAGGGTTGAACAAACCTCTAAGGTTGATATTTTATTAGAAATGTTGAATTCCTACTTGTTGACTTTTGCTAGCTTCCTTTCATTAATTGATTAAAGGTGCAAAGCATAGTATAACAAATTAATGAATCACCAGGGAATGACTTTGAATGCATTCTATCTTGAATCCACTTATCTTTCTTGCAACTGTACTGAGCTTGTGTATATTTATGCTGGTTCACGTTCTACTTCCTTCTTGTGGCAATTCATTTTTGGCTTAATATGCATTTTAGGATCTAACCTTTGTCAAATTTTTCACTTCAAGATTTAACCTATTATTTTGTTCAAGTCAGGATGCAATCTTTTGGATTTTTTCTGTTCAAGGAAAATTGATGACCAAAGTTAGCAAATACAGTTAATAGGACTTATGATTGCTATGTCAAATAATCTTTAACAGATATAAATTTGAATCCCTTAATTCTATTAATGGTAATTTACTAACTTTTATCAATAATTTTCCTCAAATGGATAAAATCGAAAAGATACATCATAATTTCAACGAAATAATAAGTTGAATTCTGAAATGAAAAATTCGGCCAACATTAAATCTTTTAAATGAGCAAATGCTGCTTATTTTTTGACTAATTGTGCCAAAGAACCTAAAAGGTAGTTATAGAGTGTTTATAACCTCATGTAAATCAATGATATACACCGAAAAATTAAGTCTTCACTTTGCAATTAAGTTGGTTTTAAATTTTTTGTGGTGCATGGAGCGTCCTATTGATGCATTTCATATTCAATGTATAAGGAAGTTGGAGCAGCGTTTGTCTCTTTCAAGACTCGTTATGGTGCTGCAGTTGCTTTCCACATGCAACAATCAACTAATCCAACACAGTGGGTTACAGAACAAGCTCCTGAGCCACATGATGTCTACTGGCCTTTCTTTTCATCATCATTCATGAAAAGATGGCTTTCTAAGATTGTTGTTATTGTTGCATGTATTTTCCTGACAATTCTATTCCTTATTCCTGTTCTGGTTGTGCAAGGTCTTACTAACCTTAATCAGTTGGAAATTTGGTTTCCATTCTTGAAAAGCATTCTGACCATGTAAGTGGTAGTTTAAGATCTTCAGCTCATTTCATTTGACTATCATTCCTGTTGTTATTGTTTTACTGCAGTATGTTTGTATTGCTGCCCAAGCTTTCTCCTTGTAAAAATTTCCCAGCAAACTGTTTCTATATTCTGCTGAATTACATTTTTCTTAAAGAACAAAAACCGTTGAGAATCAGAATAGTGAAGTTGGGCATTTCTTGACGTGGCATTTCTGTTGTTTCTATTGATAATATTAGGCAGAAGCAGATTACAGCAATTTGAAGATAAATAATTAAGTCCGTCAAACATATAAATCTTGGCATTCATAAAGAGTCAATGTCCTGGTGCCTTATGTTGCATTCAGAGAAAAAAAAAAAGAAAAGAAGCAAGATTGATGTTGTCAAATTGAAACTGGAAATATAGAAATTACTTGGTTTTTGCAAGTCTGGTTTCAGCTTTGTGGCTTTGGTACTGAGAAACCGCTGATATTCGGTTATAATTCTGTTCTGCAGTTCATCTGTTAGACCACCTTTCTTAATATAAGTAATCAACCTTGATTCAATTTGCTTCATTCTTATGTGTGCATTATCACACTTCCCTCAATGTTTCATTTCTTTGTTGAATAATTCATGAATATATGAATGCAGTAATGACGACTAGATTAAGATTATGTCTTTGTCTCATGTCATTTAAACACCCTACTTCTTTTTGCTGTTTCTAGTTTATCCTTCAAGGGAGTGTAAATGGTAAAACTTTCTATTTCATGTTATAATTTATACTTTCACAATTTCATTTATGCTGATTAATCAGAAGACTGCAGAATAAATTCCGATGATATTGTTTAGATTCTTTTGATGTATACAATCTTTAATTATATTCTCAAACACACAGTAAATGTCGACATTTGAGCATTTTCATGTTATTTATCCATCTTTATTCTATCTCTTGGTAGTGCAAAATTTAATTGTTCTCTATCCTGTTTGCAGAACTTTCATCAGTCAGGTAATTACAGGGTATCTTCCCAGCCTTATACTTCAGTTGTTTCTTAAGATTGTGCCACCAATAATGGAATTTCTTTCCACCATTCAAGGATACATATGTCACAGTGATATTGAGAAAAGTGCATGTAACAAAGTGCTCTGGTTCACAATATGGAACATATTTTTTGCAACTGTATTTTCTGGATCAGTTTTATATCAGGTTTCTATCATCCTTGAACCAAAGAATATTCCTGCAAGGCTTGCTGTTGCTGTTCCTGCACAGGTGAGTATATTTTTTGGCGGAGAACTTCTTTGACAAGTTTTGTCCCATTTAATAGGGCGAAAATGGGATGGGGTTCTTTCTTTAGCGGTTCGTAGAGGCATAACTAATGCAGGAGAATGTCTCAATAATTTCTCCAACTTAATTGGCAGATAAACTTTCTTCTTGCTTGTGTATATGCTGATCAAGATTACATTATAATTTTATAGTATTGAATCTAATTTTAGGGACAATGTTCTAGATGAAAAATTGAGTCATTAAACTTAGGAATTCGATGCAAGTAAACTGGTACTGGAATATAATCTTACAACTCATTGCTAATATGTGTTACTTTAACGAGAAAAAAAAATTAGAACATTCAACAAAAATGCTATCAATACGTGGGAAGTTATTGAAAAGGATAAAATCATATTATAATGTCTATTTTGTTAGATTATAGTTTTTACAAATTATTAATATTTCCTTAACTAAGAAAGGCTGAAGAATGAAACAAAACCTCAAGGAATATGTTCCCTTAAAAGGATGACTTGTCTTAAAAGCAGAACTGTTAAAATTTCTCCCTCTGTGTGCATGCACACTCATTCAGCTTATTATATATGTTGATTTGGCCAGTTGCCATGATACCATGTTAAATTTCTGAGAATGCTGTTCACTATTCAACATATAGACAAGGTTGCTACAAGAAATTTCAAATTTGGTTGGACTAGATTAGAAGATATAAACCATTCCATGCTAATGACAATGCTAATTTTTTCTGTAGGCATCTTTTTTCATTGCTTACGTCGTAACATCTGGATGGACGAGTACCTCATCAGAACTTTTTCGCATAATTCCTTTTATTTGCAGTCTTATAAGAAGACCTTTCAGTTGTTGCTCAGATGAAGAATTTGAAGTTCCAGCTATTCCTTACCACAGAGACCTTCCAAGAATTCTTTTTTTTGGACTTCTTGGAATTACATATTTCTTCCTTGCACCATTAATTTTGCCCTTCCTCTTGGTGTACCTCTGTCTTGCTTATGTAATCTATCGCAACCAGGTTAGTTAGCTTTCTGACTCCCATTTTTTCCTATATGTAATTTTCCTGCTGTTTGTAATTGTGATCTTCAAGTACATCATTTCAAGTTAGGCTTTTGACTTATATCAAACTTCAGTTACCAAGTAAGATGAGCAATCAATAATGAACATGTGCATCTGGTCAAATTACCATAAATCAAAAGGCACTACTTTTTTGTATGTCACTACAATTTAGGCTAATTTTTTGAATTGGTTGGTGGGTTACAATGTGCTGTAAATATAGCTGGCATGTATATGGTGTGATATGACTAGTTAATTAGAAGATTGCTTTGTAGTCAAACCTTTGGAAAACAATACATTTCTTATAATTATGTTGATATACAAGTATGCTACAAATGTACCTGCATTTTCAAGGAGATTATGGAATATTCAACATTCACTTATGAGCTGATTCTTGAGATTGCACGTGACTGCAACTTTGAAAGATTAAGTTATGAAATTTGAGTCACTGATCGAAAATTATAGTTTATGAAGCCTCCAATAAGCACTTAAGTTAATGTTTCTATTTCTATTTTATGCCCTAGATATTATTTCTCATGCAAATATATGGACCAGCATATTTTGATTTTTGACATTTTTATTCACAATTTGTGCAGATAGGTATATTCTGGAATTAATTTGTACTAACTTGCATTTATGTTTGGCAAATTTATTTTGCAGTTTCTAAATGTATATGCACCTAAGTATGAGACTGCTGGGAAATTTTGGCCTATTGTGCACAATTCGATGATATTTTCTCTTGTACTTATGCAAGCTATTGCAGTGGGAATCTTTACGCTGAAGAAGCTCTCTTTAGCATCAACTTTAGTTTTTCCTCTTCCTGTCCTCACCCTTCTCTTCAATGAGTACTGCCGGAAACGTTTCTTGCCAAATTTCATTGCTTACCCTGCTGAGGTATGTATCTTCGCATGCCAAAAATATTGTAAACTGAATGAGTTATGTTGTCGCTATTGCTGCTCTCCCTCACTCTCCGACACATGCACACAGAATTCTTTTGGCTGTTTCGGTTAAATCCTCTATCTTGATGTTAACTTGGATTTTACATCTTGCAGGTTTTGATAAAGAGAGACAGGGAAGATGGAAATGATCCTACAATGGAAGAATTCTATGATAACTTAGTGACTGCCTATCAGGATCCAGCCATGTTGCCAATTCAGTTTTCTCCAAATGTTGACAGTCTTAATCGCCCTCTTATATTGGCTGCCGAAGTTTGACATTAAGGTATGATTGTTTTTGTTGTTTGTCAACCTAACTAGTAACAATATGATCAAATTTCATTTCATAGACTTTGATTCTTTGGCATCCGCAATCACGTTGTATCTGAGAAAAAGGTGTACTTAATGTGCTTGGGATTTATGTCTGTTTGTGTCCTGATGGATATACATGGTTATCTGGCTTTCCTTAAACTTTGTCCACCAATGCCATTAAACATTGCCTTGAATTTTTACGGAAGCTTACTGTATTCCAGGTTGTTAGCATATTTTTGGATGTTTAGATGAAGTCTACTCATTGTCTGGATCCTCATCGTACGTAGTTCATTACTTTCAGATCAAGATGGAAAGCAAAATCATGCTGCCAATAGCTGAAGGTCCATCTCCTGCACAGGCGAAAACTTTTACCATCATGTTATACTTGAATTCACTGCTGTTCAGGCATCTCATATCACCATCGTATCATCACAAAGTTAAGACAAATAGGAAGTCATCCTCGCGGCACAGTTGCGATTACCTGGTATCTCCAAAATGGTTGAATTACATGGTAGATGAGATTATAGCATGGTATCTAAGGGAAAATCTCAAACTAGCAACTCATTCGTTTCTACACATACTATAGTCCCTCAGGTTTAGTTTAACTTTATTCGACTTATGATACTATCATAGAGAATGAATAGATTTGTTCTTATAATAAGGTAAAAACATCTTGGGATCTATTTAGGGTGTGAGTTAGGAATATCTGGGGTGTCTGGCATTACAGAAAGTCAAACCTGAACTCTCCTTTCTTTCTAGCTTTCTGCATAATTTATTATTAGTTATTTGTTTTGTGAAAATTTTCTAGTGAAAATGCCAGAGACAAAGTCAAGAGTTCATTCTTCATTTAACCTTAATCCATACAGTCATTGAAAGGTAAAAAGCTCTTCTTTTCATCTTCATTCACCTTTATGAAACTGCTGTAATTTTTTCTTCCTTTCTCCTTCCTGATTGTCCCATCTGCCATATTGTTTATAAATTTATTGCAACAAAGCGAAATTTATGCCAACATTTAACTGGATTTGGTATCGTGTGTATGGGTGGTAATTTCGAAGACGTAAAAGAACAACATAAAAAACAGCAACCCAGGAATATTATTTTCAAAGAATCGAGGGGTGGCTTCTTTCGTCTCCTGTTTTGGAAATTTGCCTTAACGCCTTTGGTTCATTCTCTCCAGTGTTTCTGTGCCTATACTCCCAACCCCAACCTTTTAAGTCATTTTAGCTTTCGTCATTTCCAACTAATTATTGTTTTTCCATACTTTCTCCCTATAATTTACAGCATTTGAAACTTGTCTTGACTTGCAAAGCACAATAATTCTAAGCTAATTCCATTTAAACTCAAGAGGTATTTGTGCTCACTTCTTTTAATTTTTTTTAATTATTGTATAAATACACTATTGGTGTATTAAATATAAACTCTTTTTCTAACAAGTGATTACTCAATTTACAAATTTTAATATTTAAAACGACAGATGTAACAATTATCTATACTCATTTTACCATTCTTTTTAATTCTTTTTTTAGTCATATTTAGATAATCTTACAATATATCTGGGTTAATAAGATTGGTTTAATTAGATATTGGGATTTATCATATTAGCTTACAAATCTAGGTTGAAAAAAAAAAGGAGAACAAGGAAGAGAGGGAGGGAGGGGAAGGGGGTGTTGTTAGTTGTCAAGATGAAGAATAATACCAAAAACAGAAGGAAAGGGCATTAATAAAATCTTAGGACGTTAGAATCAGAAAGTCATTTCGAGTAGTTGGTGATGTCGGCAGGCCAAAAAAATCTAAGTGTATGCTAAAGTGTAAAGAGATTTCTATGTTTCAGGATAAGAGAATATTGGAATGTGCCATCTCCTTAGAGCGAAGCTTCCAAGCTAGCTGCCAAGAACAGTAAAGATTGAAAGTGAATAATTTGAAGTACGGGAAGAGCAAAAGGATAAGGGGATCAGTACAATATCAAAGAACTGAAATTTAACCCCTTTCTCTGACTAATTCAGAGTACAAATTTTCACTTCCATAGCTCTCTCTTCTTTGTATTCTCCCCCACCACAACCCCTGCCATGATAGTGAAAGGTATTGCATAATTCAAGTAGGAAAGCCGAACCAAGCATAGAACAAAGACATAGCTACAAAAAGAAACCCTGATCACAATCTTTCCATTGGACAGCTTCCTCTCTGCCTTTATAAGTAGTATTGACACCAGCAGAAACAAGCAAAGAGACGAGCAAGAGAATTGATGACCTTGAGACAAGAGTCGATGATGGGGAAGAGAAAATTAGCGAGTGAAGGGAAGGGAAACAGTGTCGATGAAGAGGTGAAATGGGAGCAAATGGTGATGGATAGTGCTGCAGCAGTGGCAGCATTCAATGGGGCTCGGCGAGCAAGGAAAAGATTCGTTGGGGTCAGGCAAAGGCCATCAGGGAGATGGGTGGCTGAGATAAAAGATACGATACAGAAGATTAGAGTATGGCTGGGAACTTACGATACTGCTGAGGAAGCTGCGAGGGCTTACGATGAGGCAGCTTGCTTGCTTCGTGGAGCCAACACTCGAACAAACTTCTGGCCTTTTTCCCCATCTTCGAAACCGGTTCTTCCTACGAAAATTGTCAACCTTCTATTGCTTAGGCTCAAAGCAAGAAACAACAGTGCTGCTTCTTCCATGGCTTCCAATTCGCCTGTTAACGTACCAGGGTATGAACCAGCTGAAGGAGAGGATATGTGCATTGATGATTTCTTCAATGTGCCTGAAGATTGTAGGCTGAATACAACTTCTTCTTCTTCTACTTCTACAACAACTACATCTAGTTCTACAACTGCCAGTGATTGCATGTTGGAGATGATGACTTTCGGGTCAAATTTTGCTAACACAGAAAATGGTGATCATGATCTCAAAGCAATTCATTTGGGTAACAGTTACATTGATGGAGGGAGAGAGGAAAAGAGGGAAGGGTCGAAGGAAGAAGAAGAGATTGATATGGAGGGGCCATTAGATTTCCAGTTTGTGGATGCTGTAGGATTATCCTGTTACTGTTCTCCATTTGAGATCGCAGAAGAAATGGTGGAGGTGCCAATGGAGCAGCAGGAGAATGACGGAGATGATCCATCCATGCTTAGTGAGACCATGAAGAGAATGAAGTATGAACGCAAGTTCTCAGCATCTCTTTACGCCTTCCATGGGATACCTGAATGTTTAAGGCTGAGGCACCATGAATGTGCAGGAAATGACAAGCCCGAACATCAATCTAACCTTAGAAACAACTTCAACACCGACAAGAAACCTGAGATAAAGGAAGAACATGAACAAGTTGGGATCATCCCAGAAACATCAATAGAAACAGGTTCCTCATCAGCTTACTCTTCTTTGAGCAACGGAGCAGGTGAAATCTGGAGCTCCCTTGATCTCCCTCCCATCTGCTTCATGAGTTAGTTTTGACCAGAGATAGACAACCTCAAAACAACATAAACAAACAGCATTTACTTACATCTAGCAGACCCCATTTCAGGTTAACGAACAAGATTTGCATGAACAAACCAATGAGAAAAATGTAAGCTTCCATCAAAATTGGATTAGAGGTGTATAATCACTCTTGATTTGAATAATGTAGAATTTCATGAATCAGGAGATTTTTTGTTTTATTTTTGAATTGAAGAAAAAAGATTCGAACTCTATTTTTTTTAAAAAAAAAAATGCACTAATGAATAAATAAAAAATTAAAGTGCGGATAATATTTTAGAGATTAATCTTTGGGTAGTTCTTATACTTACAAAGTCTTTCAGATTTTGTTTTTTGGAATAATTCAGAAATATTTTTTGATAACTATACCAATGCCCTATCAATTTAATTACTAACAAACTTTTAATTAGAATACTGTATATAGCACTTTATAGCCAACCACTTGAGTTTAACTAAAGTGAATACTAGTCATTTAACCAAAAAAATTGTTCATGATTTTTCCAACCTAGAAGCAAGCCTCATGAATTATATATGACTTTAAATTACGAGAATAATAATTAATTAATAACTCATTTTAATTTTTATTATTTTTTATTTTAATATAAAAGTATAGTAATAAAATCAAATCAAACATAAATATTCGGTGTCTTAAAACATGACAACATTCACGAGTCTTAGTGACAAAACCAATATTGGGAAGATGAATAAATTAATCATTATGTCTTGTAATTTTGGTCCAAAATCATCATTAAGACATAACCCTCTTTTAGTTATTTATAAAACAGTCAAGATACGATCTCCCCCTATATGGTCAAGATTCTCTCAATTTTCTAAATCTTTTCGATTTTCCATTATGATCTAAGAAAGATTTAAAAAGGAAAAAACAAACCCAAAATCTATAACATAATGATACATGATTTTTTCTCGTTTCAGTGCAAATCTTCGTCAAAAAGATGTTTCTTTTCCCCACCTTTCACCAAATCATGTTCCCCATTTCACCCATTTGTTACTGTTTAAACACGTTGTTTAATCACTTTATTAATTGCACTTTAATTAATATATACTTGTTGTTTATTATCTCAGATTTGAATTATAAAAGCTAGTTGAGGTGTTTGAGCTTTATTCTCTCCACCATTTCAGCTTCATTTTCTCTAAAGTTTACCATGATGCTACCGTAATTGATTTATATATATATATATATATTCAGAATTCGTAAATATACCAAGCAATTTAAGTTTAGATCTTAAACAAATGATGTTTTTTTTATCGTAAAATTCATGATATTATCTTTTTTTTTTATTGTGTTGTTACGTTTTCATTTTATCGACTCTTTTCACTCATAAAAAAAAATCACTTGAATCCGAATTTATTTCGATTATAATATCTTTCATAAAAAATTCCACAAGACTCTAATTGAAGGGAAAACATACCTAGTGAAGGAAATATTTTTCAATTCTGGATGGTCTTTTATTTCTCTTTTGATGTATTGAAGCTATCATCATTAATTGAAGGTGGCAGAAGGGCTTTTTGTTTCTGTTTCCATTTCCCAAGAACAGAAAATACAAATCCTCCAATTCACCCTCTTAATTATGCAAAGACATATATATATATATATATATATATATATTTCACTTTCTCTTCAATGTTCATGGTAATTTCCCTTTTGCATGGAACTTCATGGACCCAAAATCAATCAAACAGGAACTATTGTACTTGATTATTTAACTTAGTTATTGATGTATAATTTTTTTATTTACAAAATAAGATTTAAATCTCTTTTTTCTAATTTAAAAAAAACAAACAAAAACTATTAATTTATTTTTTTCTGTAAATGGAAAAATATAAACACATTCGCTATGATAATTTAACATTTTAATCCCCTTTTCATAATTAAAAATTAACTGCTTAAATTCTGAAAAAAAACGAGTTGGAGTTTGTGATTACAAATTTCTCGTCGTGAAGAAAGTTTATTTAACTTAAACAATAAGAATACTGTCTAGTCATCTAGGATTTGTTAATACTTATAATGCTTAAATTAATGAAGCAGGCACGAAATCCTGGAACAGGGAGAGATTCCCTATACTACACATTTCCACCCTGCAGGACCTTCTTAAATAGTTTATCCATTGCCAATTAATAAGCTTTTGAATTATCTTTGGTTTAAGTGAAGATCATAGTTTGCTTTTCACTCCCTCCCACCGTAAGTTTAATCACAAACTAGATAGAAAGCCAACAGCAGGGCAACAATATCCTCTTCCAGGCTATGAAGAAGTACAAAAAGGACCTTCATTTTTTTTGGGTGGTACGAGAGGAGTATTGAAGAACGAGGGCAAAGGGTTGTTCAGGTTGGATCCATCCAAAACGTCCATGTTATAAAAGATAATCCCGATGCATTAGGTCATATAGTGAAAGATGAGATGATTTTATTAATAAGAAATTGATTCATTCGATTAATCTGTTCATCTCAATATTAAAAAGATTTTGAATTCGAGTATCGATAATATCCCATTAGTAATATTCTAAATATAAATCGTTCGAATGCCATGATTAAAGCAGTTTATCTGTCTTGGATTTTATAGGGAAAAAGAAAAGGGAGAGGACCCTCAATTTAGATGTTGGATATATATATGTTGACTTAATCCCTTCGGCCTTTGCATGACCTTTACAGCGGTCTGGTGCCAACTCTTCCCCTATGTACGTATTGATTCCCTTTGGCTTCTCAGCCTTTTGGCTTGCCTTTTGATTACTTGATCTTATGCCATATGAGCACCTAAAGCCACTAATGATATGACCTTTTGTCACCATTTTACCAAAGACTTTGGCCTATTTCTCTTTTGGGTTTTCCTTTGAATTATGTCAAAGCCCGCCCCTTGCGAACGTTAGATCTAAACAAATCAATTCACCACCACAGTCTCCTCCCCACCCAACCCACAAAACCAATCAAAAATGATAGGGAAAGAAGAAGAAAAATAATATTAGTATGATGAAATACCGATGAATTGGGAGAAAGGGGTATATTATCTAATGAATTAAATATTTGAGTGTAAAATATTAATAAATTTTTTTATCGAAGAAAACATGACTAAAGCAGCCCTTTCTTGTTCACCACAAAAAGGCAAGTGGAGATGAGAAAATGAAATCAAAACAAAGATTGGGTTGCTGCTGCTGATTGAAGTCTTAGGTGTTTCCACTTTGAATCGAGTGAGTAGTAAGATTAAACCAAATTGCCAAATTTTAACAAGCTGGAGTAACTTGCTTGGAATTGGGCAGTTTAGAACTAAGGAAATGAACTAATGGTGCCACATGTCTGTTCGCTGTTGGCTGGGAACTGTTATAACCTGACCAATGACACTGAAGGGATGAAGAAGGATTCATTCTTTCACAAGCCAAGCAGTGGAGGAGTATATAGTGGGAATGATGTGGTCCAAAATCTAGAACCCAACATGTTGTATTGTTCAAGGATCCACCCCTAATCATATTGTCCCATCACCACATTCCAACAATGGGTTTATCCTTATAAAAAGTTCATAAAGAAAAGGGTTAAATCAATCCACCTGCACCCCCCCAAGTGCATGTATTATTCCCCACTACTGTTAATCATGTTGACAAAAAGATATTGTGGCAAAAGGCGTGGCCAGAAGCCAGGAGGTGATGGGTGATGGTGGGGTTGAATGAAAGCTCTTTTGTGGGGAAAGGAATAGCTTAAAAAGAGACAAACAAAGCACACATTTTTTGTGTTCTTATCTATCAGGTAAGATTTGGCTTTGGTAACATGAATATATAATTGAAAAACCCCAACTTCTTTTTCTTTTGCATTTAACCTTTTTAGACTCTCTCCCAACTGTTTCTGGGTATTGACAGATAATGAGATTTTGGGTCTAAAAAAAGTGGGTTTATTTCTGTTACAATAATTATCCAAAGGAAGAATACACAGAGCGGGTACAAAGAGGGAAGAGGAAACAGAAGATTCCTCATTCTTGATAACCCTAAACTTATTGCCTATCGAAGCAGCTAAAGAGGGGATAACTCTTCTAGTAGAGTAGATAATTAATTGCAGATATTTTTTGTTTGTTTTAGCTAGAACGACATGAACAAAAGAAAGAAAAGGCCCCAACTCCTTTTGTTGGTCAACTGTCGGTAGGTTAACCCTCAATGGATGATTTGAAGGCTAAATTTGGCTTTGCCTCTTTCTGAGCATGTAAAACAGTACTACTCTATCTCTCTTTCTCACTCTTTCTTCCTATTCCCCATGGCTTATAATATATCATGGTCTGCATAATGTTCCCAATCGAGCCTTATAAATACATTGATCTTGAGTATGTCAGATGGCAATGATGACTATGATTAACATAATGA